AGTATTAGTTAGAAAGTTGGACAACAGACTTTAACCCGTTCATACATAAGTACACTCGGCAAACATCTTACAATCTAACGTTTACAAGGTTAACAACAAGGCTTAAGATGAGTGGGAACGAACCGGAGCGCCGTTCCTGCTGTAAGAAATTGTTGTGAAAACGCTCCTGTTTTTAGAAATGTTTATGAAAATGTTCCTGTTGTTAGAAATTTTATTGAAAACGTTCCTGTTGTAGAATGTTCAAGAATATACGTAAATTTAAATATAAATTATCAAAATATTATCGATTCATATTGTTTATGTAGGCCTACTTTGTTGTAGGCCTAATTTGCGACATGCCATTCTTCTATATTTGAGTTACTTTTCTGGGTCAACATACATTGTGACGTCACCAAATAATTGAAATAAGAAAATGTCGGCCCCCCGCACCTCCCGCCTCATAGGGGTTGTGAAACTAAGCTATACTTGATAACTTTACACATCTCAAGCCCAGGTTAACAACGCCATTAATACACACAAAACTACTTAAATGTAATAGTGTCGTAATAGTAAGTAACGTCCATAGGACCGATATCCCGCCACTAGTAACTGGAGCATTCTTCTTCTTATTGTTATTAAACTTTTTCATCATATTTCTATAATAATAACGTTATTATTATTATACTTTTGACATAATGTTTCAAAAGATCATAAAGATTTCACTACGAGTAACAATAATATAGACATCTGTAATGATTACAAATATAACACAAAATCTCATTGGCTTAAGTCCCTAATATAACATTATACACATACTACTGTTTATGTAATATAAAAACGTGAATGAACATTAGGCCTACATATTTAATTGCCTTTACGTTCAATTTTCGTAATATTGGGCTGTAACCAGGGGTGAACTTCTCAGAAAAAATAAAAGTAGAGGTACTCAGCTGGGTGAAGTGGACCTGTTTTTGAAAAAGAAAAAAAAATCTAGGTGTAAACACAAAAACGACAAAGCAACTCAAATATCGCCTTAAAAATTTAGTTCCGATATTATCGGTGAGCACCGGCAGAATTTTATCCCTGCTTGTAACCCAATATACACGTGTTTAAACTTCTATTGCCGCTGCCATGATGTTGATGGGCATTCATTCTGTCATTAGCTAGGCTTAGTACAAATCGAGCACTGTGGTAGATCCTTCAATTATATATATATATATAAGTGACATGCACAATTCTAAGTTCGTTCCCTTTACTGATCAGATCGAAGTAGAATTTGAAACAAACAAGTTGGACTTGTAGTCCGAGAGATAAGCCTAATTCTAGCTTTACATATGTAAACTTGCCTTTCCAAGAACTCAAGATTATCAAGAGATTTGTCTATTTGTTTAGAATTTTCGCATAGCCGACCTTAATGTTGAACTGATAGACAAGTGAAAAGGCAGCTAGCTAGTAAACAATACCCAGTACTAACTCTTGGGCTATTATCCTCCGACTGAATACTGGAATTTGACCGTCATACTTAAACTGCGGAGCGCGTTTTTTGTGGCAACGGGACGCGAGCCATTAAATTTCAGGTTCACAGTCCTGACAAGCTAACTCGCTACCTACTAGCTACACCTACCAAGCTAATTAAAAATATGTTTTTATATTCTTTACGAACTGACAGATTACGTGGTTAGATAAAACAAAAATTCAGAAACTTCATTACTGACATTTGATACGAAATCATCATAAAACCACTGCCGCAATAGTATGGTTAGTGCTACAGGTGAAATGTTGTTCTTAGCAGTAATTTATAATAAATTTATTACAGACTTTTTGTATATATATATGGATCAAGGTTCCCCCCCTGCAGAGTGTTTCTCAAATCACGACTGTTATCTATGCTACTGAAGTTTAATTATCAATATACTAAAAATGTAGCAAACATAGGTGCTTATTTTTAATATAATCCGAGAATGTTAAAAAAATGTTCAATTTTTACAACCACAACTGGCTACAATTAATTAAGGATTATAACTTATCATGATTTATTTTCAAACACACTCATCCAAGTGCTGTCAGTTGAGAGCTGGAGGTTAACTGTCAGTTGAAAGAGGGGGGGGAGGTTAACTGTCAGTTGAGAGAGAGGCCAACTACCACTCGAGAGAGGGGGTTAACTGTCAGTCGAGAGGGGGAGGTTAACTGTCAGCTGAGAGAAAAAAGGAGGTTAACTGGCTGTTGAGAGAGGGTGTTAACTGGGAATTTAACTTACTCATTCTGTTCATTCTACGTGTTTATAAAAAACTTAAAATAGTTTTAACTACTTAATGATACAATTTCAAAGTTCAGAAGAAAGTTGACGATGCGGACTTAAGACTTGTAATTACACACAAAAAAGTGTTTTCAAGTTAATTGAATAAATACAACTCTGGAGCTTCTTCTATGACAACAAAAACTATTTTTGTCTGAGAGCTTTACGAAAGACTAAGATTATTTGGTTATTGAACAGTTTGGTGGGCTAGATTTGGCAATGATAAATTAATCAACAGTAAACTTTCGAAGCCCACCGAGTCCAGTTTTACACAGTGAGGCTTGTCTTATGGCAGGCAAACTCATTTTAGGTTTTAGTGTTCACAAAGTCGAAGATAATATAATAAAACTACCAGTACTTAATTGTTTGAGTTAAGAAAAAATAACTTTTGTTTGAGAAATATTCTAGCAATAAGTTCGAATAAACCCGAAATGCCTAACTTTACAACTACGTTAATGGTGTCATAAAAGGTTATCTAATAAGCCCGAATTGCCAAATGCCTAACTTTGAAACTACGTTAATGGTGTCATAAAAGGTTATCTAATAAGCCCGAATTGCCAAATGCCTAACTTTGAAACCACGTTAATGATGTCATAAAAGGTTATCTAATAAACCCGAATTGCCAAATGCCTATCTTTGAAACTACGTTAATGAATGTCATAAAAAAGTTATCTAATAAACCCGAATTGCCAAATGCCTAGCTTTGAAACTACGTTAATGGTGTCATAAAAGGTTATCTAATACACCCGAATTGCCAAATGCCTAACTTTGAAACTACGTTAATGGTGTCGTAAAAGGTTATTTAATAAACCCGAATTGCCAAATGACTAACTTTGAAACCATGTTAATGGTGTCATAAAAGGTAATCTAATATACCCGAACTTCCTGTTACAAAATTGTAAAATTCACACCTTTTCAAGTTAGGGTAGTGTTTCGTTTACATTACTTTAAATGATTTTGTTGAACAGATTAACAGGTATCTAATGGTTGTTTTTGACACACAGGATTCACAGACTGTTTTTAATTCACAAACGTTTGAGGATATTCACTGAATTATTATTATTGTTTTACATTCTCGTTTGCATGTGAATTAAGTAAAATAAATCGGTTAATTACTCCTTGAGATAAGAAATAGCTACAGTTGTTAGATGTTTACAAACCCAGTGCCTTCTGGTTGTTGAAATTTATTATATTAGTAAGTATAATGGTAACGAAATTCCCCTTCATGAAGTTGTCATACAAATTATGGAACAATAAAAACATATTATGATCTAACAATAGTATCTGTTGGCAAACGCAAGCCTAAAATCTGCAGATTTGTGAAAGATGACTGTGTGAAAAATGTGTCTGAGTAGAATAGATTTCACAAAAAGCGATTATGCATAACTATACATGCTGTTATGT